CCGGGGCGGCGTATTGTGTTTTCGTTCGAATCTAAAATGTGTAATTAATATAATGTGATTGCAGGATAAGTTCATTTAATACTATGAAAATTGTGTAAGGAAAATAATATTCCATTTTATAGAAGTTTTAATCATGTACTCGTAATGCATCAGCATAATCTTTGTCAGCTGTCACTCTGACAGTTCATCTTTCGTTCATAAATGTCATCTGACAGCGCAACACGCCGCACCGGGCACATATTAACGTTTACATACTGTAGTATATATTTATATATATATGAGCTTTGTTTATTATATTAATTTAGTGTAGAGTCGACCATTGCCTGTGAGGTTGACGTGTGGTACGGCGTTTTGTGAGATATTCAACTGGAAATAAATTTTATTTTTAATTCCATTTTGTTGTTTCCTTTCTTATACCTCGTTTTGTCAGGGAGGCATCTCCTTATTGCTTCCTATTATTATAAAAATGACGCTCACTTCAGGCGCTTTCTAAAGAACGAGTTATTTTATTAGTTATTAATGATAAGTTATAATTGATATGAAGAAAGTTTTAGAAATAAAAGTCAGTTTTAAGGCACTTATCCCACCGCCGACGAGGAAGCGATTAGCTATGGACTATTTTCTCGTTCAACAAACGAGCAGTATATATAGATTCCTTGTCATTAAAAGAGATACATAATATATTAATAGTTGATCGCTGGCTGTTCATACTGCTAACTAGATTTTTCTCCAGTATGTCGCAGCGAAGATAACAAAGATAATACTCGTTCAGCGATGCTCGATTGGCGGTCAGACCGAGCAGCAGTCATTTTACTCTACAATGCAGATCTGAGTGCACTCGCTTATAGGCCAGCGACAAAACTATCTGAACTACACACTCGCTTCTTGTTGCTCGCCAACTCTTACCCAGTTTCTAGCTATACTCGCTTTTCGTTCATCGCTGGCGGTGGGTCAAGTGCCTAAAAGGCCTTTACCTTTTTAAAAAGCGTCGGTGAAAATCTCGAAAAAATATCTGAAAACAATTAACTTTTACGTGGTAGAGCCAAGCTGCCCTCACAGATTACCAACGTAAAATAGCAGCTCAATGCTGTATAACTACGGTTAAGAATAATAGGGGAATCGTCGAGATAACGAATCCATGACGCAATAACGTTATTTTTTTATTCTTAATGGATAGTGTAGTCTCTGCCGAGATACTTCCTTTTATATGTAGTAGAGCCATGGTTTTAGCATAAATGGGTCGACTTGACCGGGGTAGGACCACGCTCGCTCATAATACCAGCGTAAAATAGCAGCCTAAGGCTGCTGTGTTTCGTATGGCGAGTGTAGAGAACCGGAGAAACTTTTTACTGACAACGAGGCATTCCATCTTAATCGAGGATAAATGTAGATGTCTATGGCCACAACCTCCACTTACAATCAGGTGGTATGTGTGCTCGTTTGTACCTAGCCAGCGCTTATCTACAATCCCACCTGAACCTGATGGTATGTGGTGATGTAGCCTAAGATTAGCCCTTTTATTATTCAGACTTAACAAAAGCCTATTCACTCTTACCTTGAAGACACTAACACTGTTTTTAACAGTGGTAGAGCTACGCGGCAGCTTTTGCTGTCGCACGGATGGGCCGGCTCGAACCGGGGTGATACCACGACCTCACAGAAAACCAGCGTGAAGTAGAGGTTTACCTCTCCGTTTCGCTTGGTGAGTGCAGGTGACCGGAGGCCCTTTTTACTGGAAATGAGGCGTTCCATCTTAGTCCTCACGGGTGACAACGCATCTACATTTTGATTTGTAATAGAGGATAGATGTAGATGTCTATGGACCACAGCAACCACTTACCATCAGGTGGACTGTGTGCTCGTTTGTCAACCTTATCCTATAAAAAAAAAATTGTACAGAAGACAGACGAGTACAATCTGCCACTTTGCCTTGCGTATGTGGACTATGAGAAAGCCTTTGATTCCGTCGAAATTTGGGCGGTGCTGCAGTCCCTTCAGCGGTGCCAAGTTGACTGTCGGTATATCGAAGTGCTGAAGTGTTTGTACAGTTGAACTACGATGGCTATCCGAGTACAGAATCAGAGTACGAAACCTATCCAACTGCAGAGAGGTGGAAGACAGGGTGAAATTATATCCCCGAAACTCTTCACCGCTGCATTGGAAGACGTTTTCAAGCTGCTGGACTGGAAAGGATGCGGTATTAACATCAATGGCGAGTACATCACTCACCTTCGATTTGCCGACGATATAGTCCTTATGGCAGAATCGCTGGAGGACCTAAGCACTATGCTCAATGACTTCAATAGTGTCTCCCAACGGACAGGTCTTAAGATGAACATGGACAAAACAAAGATCATGTTCAATGTCCATGTCACACCTATGCCGATAGTTGTTGGGAGCACTAAGCTCGAAGTTGTTGACGAGTATGTTTACCTGGGACAAATAGTCTGGCTAGATAAGTCCAACTTCGACCGAGAGGTCAATCGACGGATTCAACTCGGCTGGGCAGCGTTCGGGATAATACGGCACATCTTCTCGTCAGGTATACCTCAAAACTTGAAAACAAGACTGTACAACCAGTACGTGTTGCCAGTGATGACCTATGGTACTGAGACGTGGTCCTTCACTGTTGGCCGGATGAGGAAGCTCAAGGTCGCTCAGCGAGCTATGGAGATGGCTATGCTCGGGGTTTCTCTGCGTGATAAACTTAGAAATGAGGATATCCGCAGTAGAACCAGAGTAACCGACATAGCCCAACGGATTAGTAAGCTGAAGTGGCAGTGGGTCGGCCATATAGCTCGAAGAACCGACAACCGTTGGGGAAGAAAGGTTCTCGAGTGGCAGTCTCGTACTGGTAGGCGAAGTGTAGGGCGACCCCCCACGAGATGGAGTGACGACCTGGTAAGACATGCAGGAAGTCGATGGATGCAGGTGGCTCAGGACCGTGCTTTGTGGCATTCCTTGGGGGAGGCCTATGTTCAGCAGTGGACTTGTGAAAGGCTGTAATGTTGATGATGATGATGAATTTCACAAGATTGGCATCGCCCCATTCGGAGACTGCCTGTGGTGTGAGCTCTACCATAAATTCTCTTTCGGACTGGATTTGATCCCGGCTAGCCCTAGGACTTGGTTGGTATCTCTCCACAACTGTGCTATCGTCTGCATACCCATAGATACTGAGGAACACCAGCGTTAGTCGCCATAGGATCGGATAGGCCGACATCGACGAGGACCTGGATAGACCGTTCACTCAGAAAGTGATTTACCCATTCAATCAGACCAAGGGATAAGCCGTACGCTGGAAACTTACCCAAAAGGCTGGTGTGCCAAACTCTGTCAAAGGCCTTCAAGACATCAAGGGAAACAGCAAGTGCTTCCCCACTGTTCTCGAGCTCCTCACCCCATACGTGTGTGGTATACGCTAGAAGATCCCCAGCTAACCGATTTCGGCGAAACCCATATTGCTGGTCACTAAGGAGGTCATTCTGTTCTAGGTATGCCATTAAACGGGCGTTCAATATACGCTCCATAATCTTGAAGAGTATGGAGATAATTGAGATTAGCCGATAATTGGCAGGGTTGGCGCGGCTGCCTTTTTTGGAACAAGCTGCACGTTAGGCAGCTTCCAGGATTTTGGCACTATTCCAGTCCTAAATGAGAGGCGGAACAATCGGTATACCATCTGGTCCAGCAGCTTTATTTACGTCTGGACATCGCAATGTTGTAAGAACCTCCTTGTTTGTTATAAGAACCTCCGACATAGAGGTCCCGCAGTGACGTAATTTAGGTGAAACGTTGCTGCCGCTGTCGAGACGTGAATTTTATTTTTATTTTATATATTTTTTTTTTTAATTGTAGGCAAAGAGAGACGCGAACAAGTCCGCTTTCTGTTTAGTCGTATACGTCAGTGTGCCATCCGGTTTTACCAGCGGAGGCAGTGTAGGCCGACTGAAGTTTGTCTCGACTGCTTTGACGAGAGACCAAAAAGCTCTAGTGACGGATGGTCTAGCTGAGAGTTTTGCGCCGATATGTTTAATGCGATCGAGACTAGCTTTCCGTAATGCTTTTTTGTAGGACTTGGCGACCTGGTGGAAAGTTCTCTTCTTGCAGCTAATATCCGGCAATTTGCGGTTTTGAGCGTCAACCCAGGATAGGTATTACGATAAATGCTTGCGCTTTTCAGCTTGGGCCCATTCAGCGTTAAACCATGGGCGAGCTTTGCTACCGGTGGGAGCGTCAGAGAAGGGGATAAAATACTCCATAGCTTCACCTTCAGCCAAGTATAAGATGCAAAAAAGTGTCGTATCTCATCCCAAACAGCTGACTTATACCGCCATATTCTTCGAACATCTTAGGACTCGTAATAAGATGGAGAATATGACGATACAGATTTCACCAGACAGTGGTCAGATGTACCCAAAGGGGAGGTAGCCTGTACTTCATACCTGTCTGGTTCGGTAATCAGCAGAAGGTCCAAGCAATTTGCTGTTTGGTCATCTATATCGGGTACCCCTTTCGCTTCCTTTACCAGCTGAGAAAGACCTAGCGTCAAAGCAAAATTCCACGCTTCTTTTCCAGCATGGTCGGTCTTCTGGTATGTGAAAAGTCAGTCTTGGTGACAAGCGTTAGAGTCCCCCAGAAAGACCAACTGTGCAGTAGGATACCGATTTAGGGCCACGTCAGCAGTCTCATTAAGGTAATCAAATAATCATGTTGTCTCCTGGTCACCGCTGTGCGATCGATAGACATAGGCATAAAGGAATTTATCATTACCTTATCCTAAAAATATTTTAGAAACAGCTTGGAAGCGACCACCTCATTCCCAGGGGTTACTTTCTTCAACCATGTATACATTTATATTTAACCCTTTTTATACAATATTTAAACTTGGTAATAGAGATAATTGTATACTTTCGGGGACTTTGTTGTAATAGTGGATACTTTGTATACGTTAATTGATTACCAATAAAAGGGTGATTTCACAAAAGAAAAATAATTATTAAATATTTCTTTACTGTATAAATACGTCACAATAATACTTTAAAAATACGTGTATTTACATCAATTAGCGTTGCACGCCTTATAACAATAAATGTTTTTTTTTTATTAAAATCTGAAGAACTTTACAGATATAGGCACATAAAGGTAAAACTAAGGTTAATTACAAATATAAACTAAACATTACAGCTTAATTTAAATGTTAACGTAAAATCAATTAATTAAAGCTAATTTAAAAGTTTCAATGTCTCTATTTTTTATATTTATCAGTTATCATTAGAACTCTTCACAAGTCCATTGTTGAATATAAAATCTAAATTAATGTCGCAACGGACGGTCCTGTTACTAGGTCATGACTTCATATTTTCAGATACGAACAAAAGGCATGTTAAGCCGTTGGTCCTGCGCCAGCTCTCTCTCCATTGTATCAGATTTTTGTCCCATACGGCTATAAGAGGGAAAGAGATTGTTTGCGCACACACTCGTGCACTGTAAATCTTGTCCTGGGCAGATGGATAGTGTCATGTTGAGTGACCGATATTCGGCCTGGAGGACGTTATTATTATTATCATTACTCGATATTTTATTACAATTTGTTACATTATTTTCTAAAAGTTTTGTAAATGTAGGTTGTGAGAAAATCGACTCTACTCCCCCAAATATAAATTGTATATAAATAAAATAAAATAACTTAACTTTAATTTCCATATTTTGTACAGGTTATTAAACTAATTGTTTATAAACATAAATAACATTACATACTAAATGATTTTTTTGACTTTAAAACGTGTTAAGTATCCGATTCCTTGTTTATAGGTCTCCCGTCCAAATCGACTTCCGTGCTGGGAATTAAAGGAGGCTTGAAACCATATTCTAATCTTATATTAGTTACTTTCGGCGTTCTATCACTTCTTTTCAGCTCAACCTCGGAAATGTGAGCACTGTTTTTCTCCCACATATTACCGTAAAATTGTACCGGTGGGGGGCCGTAATAAGTGTTTTTATTGATCGTTAGATATGTTACGCCATTTGCTTCCTTCGTATCTTTACTGTCTTCGGGCGTGACGTTTAGATATTTGAATGACGAGGCGTACAACTTACCCCATTGTGTTGTTTGCACTGGTACACTATATGTCTGCTGCCTTTCTTTTAGATATTGGTAGTATTGGTTGAGGTATCCTTGTTGCGCTTGATGATCTTGATTGTTTTGAACTGGAGACGGATTTTGTTTAGATTGACCCTGATACTGATGATAATTAGGCAGGTTTTGAGACTCCTGCTCACTGTTTCCATGGGCCAATGACGAAGCCGTATATGGAATTTGTACCGCATACGGTAGCTTCTTTTCAATAATCTTCTCAACAATATGAGGAACCTTTGTTTCAACCTGATACGGTCTATCAATGTATTTGGTGAACACCGCTGGTTTTTGAACCAACCTGTCTACAAAGTTTTCCACAGAATACGGGACTTTTACTGGCACCCTTTGCTCTACAATTCTATCTACCGGGAAGAGGTTGGGAACTTTTTTCTCGACTATCCTGTCTACAGGATAGTGTTTCACTATATGAACTGGGACAGGAACGGGTACATTTACGTCTACAGGTTTTTTAACGACCTGAATCACTGGCACTTGTCTTTGTTTCTCTACTATTTTCTCAACGGGAAACGGCACTTGTTTTTCCACAGGATAGGGCACATGAACCTTTTTTTCATAAAGTACAGGATATAAAATTGTCTTCTCTACCGGATATGGAACTGGGACCTCTTTATGAAAAATTTTCTCGACTGGTACTGGTTTTTCAATCGGTACGAGTATTGGTTTCTCTATCGCCACTGGATATAGAACTGGTTTTTCGACTGGGACATGTACTTTGAATGGTACGGCCACAGGTGTAGGAACTGGAAGAGTTTTGATAATTTGTTTTTCTACTAATTTCTCAACTGGATATGGTATTTGTACTGGCCGATCTATGAAAACTTTCTGTTCCACGGGGTACGGTACCTTCACTGCTACTGGATAAGGTTGCGGAACTTGAACAGGATAAGGCTTTTCGATATATTTCGTAACTTCAACTGGCTTTTCAATAACTTTTTCATAAGGCACTGGAACAAGGACTGGTCTATCAACGGGAATATGTTTAACAACTTCCACTGGTTCAGGCACTTGCTTTTCTGTATAGCGATCTTGATATTGTGGGACAGGCACTTCTTTTTCTATAATTATCGGTTGAGTAGCTTCACTAATATTAGCATTATGATTATCATAGTAATTTTTATTTTCGTATCCCATATTGCTTATATCATCACTGATAAATTGAACCTCAGATTGCATATTTTCACTAGGTTCTAGTTTTTCTTTTATTTCATGATTGTTTTCATTACTTTGATCATCATCATTATAATTTGAATCAGAATATTCATCATGATTCTTATTATAGTTATTAAGAACATCGTTTATATTATCTTCATTTTTCTTCGTAAATTGTAGAACTTTCATGTATGTATTATGCAAAATCTTTGCCATATCAAACGGATTTGAATTGCTTCTGCCTTCTTCCAAATACTCATGTACTTCAACATCATTTATATGAATTATGTCTAGTGGTATTGATTCTTGTATCTCTACGATTGTTCTTTCTTTGGATGGACTCTTTACAGTTTTCTCAACGAGTTCAGTATCAGAAGTATCGTGATCATCAATCGAGTTCAAATCATCAGTATGATTGGAATTAAGCAACCTCAGTGCTACAGTTATAGGTGCCAAGTATCTCTGTCCCACAGGTCTTGGAGTTACATAAACTGTCTCCTCGTTAAAATAATGTGGTACGTACATTTTGCTATGATTTCCTTTAGAGTCCTTTTTTATATTTACAATCTCATATCCGTTTTCTATATATGGATCCATAGTCGATACTAAAGTATTTAAAACCTGCTCTTTGTAATCAGCATCACTGAATTCTTCTACAATGATAGGAGACGTAAATTTACCACTTTCATAATTGTCTTTCTGAATTTTGTCAGCTACATCATTGTTCAAGGACTCGATAGCTCTATTTTCTATATTAGATATTTTTGCCTTAACTGTTATATGATTTCGAGGGTTTTTGATGTAACGGGTCTCCTCACTTTTTAAATTAAATCTAGATCGTGGTTTGATATAATCATCATAAATTTCAGTAAGATGTTTCTCAGCAGAATGATTGATTCTTAATAAATCATCATTTGATATAAGATCTTGCGTTGAAGCTACTAAACGTGATATACTGTCTTCCTCTTTAATATTAGTGTTTCCAGTAGAAATAGGACTGGTTTCTGTTGAATAATAATAAAATCCTTCTTTATTTGTATTATCTATTGGTTGTTCAATTTTGAAATCAGTTGCCCCTTTGTAGGACAATAGTTCATTCTGCTGATCAGTATTTTCGAAATTTTCATTTATATTTTGCTTATCGTATGTCGTAATTTCTGCAACTAATTCAGTCGATTTTTGCGTATTGTTATAAAATTTATTTTCAGTTTTTAGGTCTTCGTTAGAGCAATTGTGATCTCTAAAAACTTGCACAACTGATGTTACCGGTATGTGATTTTGTTCTGCACCGATTTCTTGATGCGAGGTTATCGGGTTCAAGTCTTTGCTCGAGCGATCATTATTTTTCGAATCAATGACTTCTTGGTTATTTGTTATCAGATGATTAGTTTGAAAATTGTACCCGGTTGGGTTTAAAGTATTTAAGTTAAATAAATTTGGTTGTATATTAGTATAGTGTATTAAATCGCCGGGTAAACTACCCTGCACAGTTTGATACACTGGCAAGGAGAGTTGCTGTTGAAGAAGATATATGTCGACTGGGGTATGCACAGAATTTCCGTTACTTTGACCGTTGTGTGTTATCTGTGTGTTGTTAGATAGCGACGGATTTTCATATATCTGAATTGGTACCTGCAACAATTAATTGTAAAGATGTATTCACACGATTAACATTCGCGGCCCCCAGCGCAACTACTCATTGCTCAAAACACTGCTCCACGGAGCCGTCAGTTCACTGCTGAACATAGGCCTTTCCCATAGATTGCCTCATAGGGGGAATATTTATCATAGTTGGCACGCTTGGCAGCGGGTTGGCAACCGGGGTTTTTCATTTTTAGTCGTTATTAGGAGGACGCTGCTGCCCATATCCAGATTTGTTTCCCTCTGTCGCCTCTTAAGACACCCACGAGAAGGTATGGGGTAGGAGATATTCTTACACCGCTACTACACTGTCGAGAAGGCGAAAACCGCCCTCTCGCATTTAACTAAAAGAGTTACGAAGAATTGTAACTTATTGCGCAATGTATTGAAGCCGCAGAGCCATCTAGCAGCAGACATAGAAGTCTTAGTCATAGTAATTAAAATATAAACTAACCGCATGATTATATCCCACTGTTTCTTGGCCGCTACCGTCGAGTAATGGTGCTGTAGTCTGTAACACACCAACGTTCGACGCATACTGAACTCCTTGTACTGGCTGTGAAATAAACATACGAACATATTAATTCTACTACTACTTACTAGGCATTGCTGATAAAAATCCTACGCAGCTTTTGCATTTTACTCCAGATCATCCAAACTCGGAAGTAAAAGGATGGTGAAATGTAGTAAAAATGATTGCACAAACTAAAAGCTTGGATAGAAAATGATTTTGATTTGTTAATGGCATTAACAATCGCTTTAAAAGCTTTTTTTATTTCTTATTTTTTATTTGAAACCTGATGCGTCTCATGTGGTTTCATAAAAATTGAATCAAGATCTGACCTTGAGTTAGTTCCTGTGTTTGAGTTATCCGTAATAATACATATTTAATTGACTTCGACTACATTAATGATATTTTTTTTTATAGGAGAGGGGGCAAACGAGCATGCGGTTCACCTGATGGTAAGTGACTACCGCCGCCCATGAACAGCTGCAACACCAGGGAGGGAATCGCAGATGCGTTGCCGGCCTTTTAAAAAGGAGTACGCTCTTTTCTTGAAGGTCCCTAAATCGTATCGGTCCGGAAAAATCGCTGAAGTCTTGCGAGGAAGAAAACGTCTTCTAAATCGCACAGTGGTGGACCGCCAATCATCCAGATGGTGTGGATGGTATCGGGAGTTCTGCCGCGATGTGCATTCGTAAAATTTGGCGGCTGGGATTAATCGGAACAATTCTTCAGAGCACTCCCCGAGGTAGATGCGAAAGAAAATGCAAAGGGATGCAACATCTCTTCGCAGTGCCAATGAATCGAGCCGATCGGAAAGGACTCGGTCGTCGACGATTCGAGCCGCTCTGCGCTGGATACGGTCAAGTGGAAGGAGCTGGCACTGGAGAGCCCCTGCCTAGAGATGGGAACAGTATTCCATGTGAGGCCGACCCTGCGCCTTGTAAAGTTGCAGGCGGTGTGCCGGCATGAAATACTGTCCCGCTCCGCTGAGCACGCCAAGCTTTTTAGAGGCCAATTTGTCCTTCTCTACCAAGTGACCACGAAACAGCACGTCACTCGATATGTCGACTCCGAGGATTCCGATACTGGCTGAGGCAAGAAGGGGAGTGCCTTGAAACTGAGGAGATACGACAAAGGGGTTCTTTTTAGCGGTAAACGCGCAAACTTGTGTCTTCTGAGGATTAAACTGGACTAGATTTAGTCGCCCCCAATCCGAGACTTTGTTCAGCAAAGACTCGACTTCAGACAAAAGTTTGTTCCGGTACTCGGCGACGTTTTCCCGAGAAATATTGGCACGGCCGGTGTATAGAGCATCACCAGTGCTGTCATCCGCATAGCAATGAATGTTACCAGTTACCAACATATCATTGATATGCAGAAGAAACAGCGTTGGTGATAGCACACAGCCTTGTGGAACACCAGCGTTATTAGGCTTGTAGTCGGAGCATGCACCGTCTACAACGACCTTGATGCTCCGATCTGCAAGGAAGCTGGTGATCCAATCGCACAATTTCTCGGGAAGCCCATAGGAAGGGAGCTTTGAAAAAAGCGCTTTGTGCCAAACCCGATCGAAGGCCTTCGCAATGTCCAAAGTAAGGGACAATGGTGATGGCGATAGGCCTGTAGTTGGACGGGTCTGAGCGGTCGCCTTTTTTAGGGATCGGGTGGACAAAAGCTGTCTTCCATGAATTCGGGACTACGCCTTGGGAGTAGGAGTACCGGAAAAGACGCGTTAGGACCGGTGCCAACTCCGGAGCAAACGTCCTCAGCACAATTGGGGGGATTCCGTCAGGCCTACTCGACTTCTGGATGTCCAGGGAGAGGAGTGCTTTGTGAACCGAGCGCTGTGAGAACAGCACATCCGACATGGAGCACTCACACCACGGGATGGTCGGCGGTGTTTTCCCCCCGTCATCAAGAGTCGAGTTAGACGCAAAAAGGGAGCCTTAAAGTTCGGCTTTGTCTTTTGCGTCTTGGGCCAGTGAGTCATCCTCCCTGTACAGAGATAGTAGTGATGACTTACAGAAATTATCTTGGACAGCCTTGGCAAGAGACCAGAATGCACGGGTTCCCGAAGGAAGGCGAACTAGTTTCTCGCCAATTCTGCCTATGTGCTCTGACTTTGCCTTGGCAATAACTCTTTTGAAGAACCTGGAGGCGAAGTTATACTTCTTTTTAAGTGTGCTGGTGTTTCCATCCCGAGTCGCTGAAGCCGCAGCCCAGGCTTGATAACACTCCTGCTTACTGCGTAATGCAGTCTTACAGGAGCGACCAAACCAAGGCTGAGATCTGCCTCTGATGGGTACCACAGATGATGGAATAAATAGTTCCATTCCCTGTAGCACCACATCAATGACAGAGTCAGCAACAGCGCTGGGATCATGGGTAGGATGCAAAGAAAGACCGCATTCCGTCCCAATACGCCGACCTGTAATGCCAAACACGGCGGCAACCTGCAGAACGCAACCGCGAGGGGAGCGTGAGTGGCACCACACTCCGGATCAGACAATGGTCCGAAGAGCCGAGAGGGGCATCGACGGAAAGATAGATGTAGATGTCTATGGGCCACAGCAACCACTTACCATCAGGTGGACTGTGTGCTCGTTTGTCACCCTATCCTATAAAAAAAATCATTAAACACTTAACGAGAATGAATTAAAAGGTTTTGTTATCTTTATGTTGTAAATACGTGGTAGAGTCATGCTGCAGGTATGTTATAGTTCACAGATAATTACTGGGCACGGGTGCTTCGGTGATTATCTGTGTAAGATCGGACGTGAGGAGACGGCGTATTGCTTCCACTGCGGTGGACAGGACCAGGACTCTGCGTCCCATACGCTGACAGTATGTCCAGCGTCGGAACGGGAGCGGACGATCCTGGTGAGCTATGTCGGACGAAACGTCTCTCTGCAGGATCGGGAAAGGGTAGATCCCGCTCGGAGAGGACGACGCCAAGGGATTCGTCACGACCCTCCTCTTCAAAACTGTGTTCACCTATCAGAAACGGGCCCTCTGGGGGTGGAGACGCACGGGGCATTGGCCCCGAACGCCTAGATGTAATCCCCGAGGAGGACGATGTCTCTGAAGTGGTCCCGAGACATAGAGATAGCACTGCGAGGGTGCTCGGATCAGAAGGTTGCAACCGGGACGTGCTTTATGCAAAGCGAAAGATGGGTCCCGGTTGCATTCCGAACGGAGATCCCGGGACCCCTTATATACGCCGATGGTGACCACCATGTATGATGAAAGCATCCATGAGGATTATCCCACGAAAAAAAATTGTTGCAGTGTTGGGTCGGCTCAACCGAGGAATGGCACAGAATAGGCAGCGTAAAATAGCAGCTTAATGCTGCTGTGTTTCGTAAGCTGAGTATAGAGAACCGGAGACCCTTTTGACTGGAAACGAGGCATTCCAGCTTAGTCCTCAGGGGTAACAAACTATTTACATTTTGATTCTTTATTGAGGATAGTATAAAGATGTAGATGCTATGGGCCACAGCATCGAATTATCATCAGGTGAACTAAGTGCTCCTTTGTCACCCTCATTCCATAAAAAAAATATTTACCTGAGGCAGTTGGACATAAAACTGTTCCGCGGGCACTGAGTCCACTGGCGTCAACTGCCAACTCCACTCGAAGCCTTTACCATTCTGTTGCACTCTCTGATTCTGGAATGAAAGATTATAATTTTATTAAAACTACAATACAATTTTTTTATAGATGGATAACAAACGAGCAAACAGTCCTTTGGTAAGTGGATGCTGTGACACATAAACACCCACGTCTATCTTCGAACAACAATCAACATGTAATTGTACTGCCACCTCTGAGGCCGGAGACAGAACAGTACCTCATCCACAGTAAAAAGGGTCTCCTGTTTTCTATAATTCGATTACAGTACTCACACAGGCCGTGGTAGCTCAGTGGCTAAACGCTCGCTGTAAATTTCTCAGTACGCGAGCAATCCGGTTCGTACGGATTAATATGCCATGCCTAATAATAACGCTCATAAATCACTTTTTAATTTTCAATAATTTTTGTCACAAAATACCTTATTGTGGCTTATGTATAAGAAATAGGCATATCGTACCTTCTTTTTTTTTAGGTGGGGCAAAGACCAATATTTTTGTAGAACATTGTATTTATGTAATACTAAACGTTACGCCAGCGCACGCGGATAAAGCAGTTAGAGAGCGCCTTTTCTTCCGACTTGCTTAACAAAAATCAATATTCAAGGTTAGCTGAGAGTTATAGGCTAATGCTAGATAGCCTATACTATTTCTCATGAATCTGGCTATTATATATGTACAAAAAGAATTTTTTAAATGGGACTGGTAGTTCCAGAGATTAGCGCGTTTAAAGTTTAAACAAACAAAAAAACAAAAAACCTCTTCCGCTTTATTATATTAGTATAGGTATATACCTACGTAAATTTACTTTACCTAGTTGATAAATACACTCCTATGTATATCATCCGAATAGCGACTATGTTTGAAATCGGCCGGAACATCATTAAGCTGATGGTGCTTTATAATGATCGATTTGTATTATGATACTATATTTACTATGATATAAACTTGTGGTTGTTATAATCACGCTTTATCACTTCCTACTTTAACTGTGTTTTCAACATACAGTGAATGTGAATTATGTGTTTATTTGGATTAGAATGAAAGTGACGATACGCTCTTACATTTATAATGCGTAGTAGTGCCAGTATAATATAGCTACCACGTTTACCCACAGCCACAGTATACCAGCGTACAATAGCGGGATTATGCGGCTGTTTTGTTTGGTGAGTGCAGAGAACCGGAGACCATTTTTACTGGTAACGACGTATTCTAGCCCTCACTGGTGGCAACGCGTCTGCACTTTGATTCTTATTAAGTGGCGAAGCTTGCGAAGTCACTTATTGATTCCACGATGTCTGTCGGTCTGTCCGTCTGTCCCACGATTATCTCGAGAACGGTTTCGAATTTTCAAATTCTGTTTCCAGCAATCGATTACTGATCACCCAGGCATCTGAACCTCCTATTTTGAAACTGATTGCTCAACGGCAACCGTTAGAAACCGCTACAAAGCTGATTGCTTCGCCACTTTGCTATGCTGTTAGCTTGCTAGGTTTATTGTGATTCTTAATCGAGAATTGATGTAGGTGTTGAGCCACATTAACCACTTACCTTCAGATGGATTGTGTGCTCGTTTGTCAATCTTATTCAATAAAAATAATATTTAAATAATAGCGCAAGATTTACACACACATAAACTCACACACATGCACTCACACACGCACACACGCACATGCACATGCACACGCACACGCACACGTACACGCACACGCACACGCACACGCACACGCACTCGCACTCGCACTCGCACTCACTCACGCACTCACGCACTTTCGCATTCACGCACTCACGCACTCACACTCACGCACTCACGCACTCACGTACTCACGCACTCATGCAATCACGTACTCACGCACTCACGCACTCACGCACACGCACACACACACGCACACGCACACGCACACGCACACGCACACGCACACGCAACGCCCGCGCACGCGCACGCGCACGCGCACGCACACGCGCACGCGCACCACGCTCGCACGCACGCACGCACGCACGCACGCACACACACACACACACACACACACACACACACACACACACACACACACCATACAGTATTTGTAAGTAGACTAGTTCTTAACAATTGATTGTGCTAATTTTAGAATCTAACTGATATATAACATTAATATGGATATAGAATATGTTTATTTATACTGCCTTGTAACATGGATATAGTAATGGAAGGGCGGACCCTCGAAACACAGGCATTATTTGCTTAAATAGAGATTCCAATTTACTAGTTTTTAAGGCATGTACTTTTTAAAATAAAATAAAAATGTATTTTATTTACTTATTTATTTATTTATACTCGAGATTTTTGTTTAATAAAACCTAAGTGAGAAGTGACAGATGTTCGTATAATTCACTTGATGATAGCGACCAAAGACTACAATGTTATATAGGGAAGTAGCGACTTACTGCAGTCCAAGACACCTGAGGCCAACTACAAGCAAAGTAGGCTACAGATGCATTGTCAACTCCGACAACTAAGATAGAATGCCTCACAGACTGTGTAATTATACTGACCCTCTATACTATCTCTTTTTTATAGTATAAGGGTGACGAATGAGCACACTGTCCACCAGATGGTAAGTGATTGCTAAGGCCCATCGACATATTGTCATCAATAAACAATAAAAATGCAGATGGTTTGTCATCCATGAGGACTCAGATTGAATGCCTCCTATCCAGTAAAAAGGGTTTCCTACGAAACACAGCAGCAATGAGCTTCTATTTTACGCTGGTATTCTGTGAGAGCGTGGTCCTTCCCCGGTCGAGCCGACCCATTCGTGCTACAACTATACCAGTATTATAGCTGCAGCTTGGCTCTATCACGTATAGAGCATTCTCGATGTCTTTTCTAGTACACAGTACATATTATTTCAATGTCGACAAGACAGATAATCAGTAGATTGGATTAATTTCCAGTAACATTCATTAATTTTTAAAAGCCAATTCATAATCGAGATCATTTTTATCTTTTAGAAAGTGGAAGTCATATAAATTGTAATTTTCGCGTCTGTCGTTAATAACATTACATACAAAAAGACAAAAGCTTACACCAACGCACAACTTTCTCGCCATAGATTTACTTTTAAAATAAGATTTAATGAAAGGCTAGTTTTACGTAAGTAATATAAAAGTTATCGAATAGTTATGACTTTCAATGGAATGTTATTAATTACAACAGTTCTTTTTTTTGGTAATGGATTTGTACAATTGTACTTTTGCCAGTATCAAGTAATAAAAAAATATATCACGTAATATACGCACACATTACTTGAGGTTCACAATGTGAACTTCACATCACCATCGGAGCATTTGTAGGTATTATCATTTCCACTAATAGTTCACATTCGCTGACATTTAATACACAAAATCGCACCACTTTTACATATTAAAATTCACTTCAAATAATTATTTAAACAATAATTACACAGGAGCATCAATGCGCCGGCGCGGTAAAGTACCCGCCAAAACTCCCTACAGCAGTTTTAAATTGTTTTATTACCGTTTCGTTACAGCCTACTAAAGTCCACTGCTGAACATAGGCCTCCCCCATAAATTGCTGAATAGCAAGCGGGTTGGCAACCGCCGTTTTTATTTTCTATCGTTATTAGGACGACGCTGCTGACCACCCCAGCAGCATGTAAGCTGTATACGAGCTGTATTGGAGTTCCTTTTTATACTAGAGGCTGCATTTACTGGCTGTACAAAGGCTATATAAGCGCTTATACAGCTATTATAAGTAAAAAATTGACCAGTACAAGCAAAACAGTACCTGTACAAGCACAAAAGGAGCTGTATAATAGCAGTATTATAGCTGTTATTTGGTGTACAAGGAAACTATTACACTACAAATACTATCTCATGAATGTTTTACAGATAAACGTTCTAAGTTGGTGTTTGAACAGTATCACAAATGAATTTATGACAAACATCACTTAATAGATTTATTTATATACTTTACTGAACGATGTCGACATTTAGAGAGTGAAAGATTATATTACATATTACTTGAATTGGAGTTGAGTTATGACGGTGATATCCGGTGAATAGAAAATGCAAAATTAGATTTACGGTAAAGTTGTATATGATTTCTATCAAAAAATTGCCGCGCCAGCAAAATAACGAGATAATATAAGGACAAAATACTAAATATGGTAAGTAAATATTGATTTTATAGTTTCGAATAAGAAAATAATTTAATTACTGAATATGTATGCATATTGGGGCATAGTGCTCATTAGTCAAACTAAAAATAATGGTTTAGGCTAAAACTAATGTCTCATATTCCTAAATTTACAGTTTAAATTTTGTTTTTATAGGTCCTAAAATGGCGACAATTTGCTAAACAGCCTAAAAGATATTTCGAGTGTCTTATAGTCTTAGTAGCTGTACTATGTATGTAATGGATTTTATTATACAGCGACTAGTTTTATATCAGCTGTATAATAGAATATTTTGATTACTAACTCTGTATAGTAGTTTTAAAACATCACAGATAATTGTCTTTCGAGATATGAATAAAAGATGAAAAACCTTTGTCTTAGAAACAACACTTTTATCCCTTCTTCGCTTTATCTCATTTAAATAATATTATTTTAAGATCTAACCGTGCTTTAATAATTTTTTTGTTTTATTTTATGGACAAGGACAAAAAAGTGCTTACTTCGTTCACTTCTTTTAAGACAGAGACTATATAAAGCCACACAAACAAAGTTAATAATTTGAAAATATTTTTTTAATTTTTGTACCAACCTAAAAGCATCGATTTAATTGAAATGATTGTATTTATTGGCAATAAATTACTACCCCTTTTTCATTCATTCATTACAGCCCTTCACAAGTCCACTGCTGAACATAGGCCTCCCCCAAAGAATGCCACAAAGCACGGTCCTGAGCCACCTGCATCCATCGACTTCCTGCATATCTTACCAGGTCGTCACTCCATCTAGTGGGGGGACGCCCTACACTTCGCCTGCCGGTACGAGGCTGCCACTCGAGAACCTTTCTTCCCCATCGGTTGTCGG